GTGGGGCAGGGCAGCCCCGGGGAGCAGCAGGGCTGCCAGGGTCTGCTGGGGGTCCCGCTGCCCCACGGCCTCGTTGATCAGCTGCACAGCCAAGGCACCTGCATGTGGACATCCAGGTCAGCCCCCACCACGGACTGAGCACCCACTGGGAGGTTTCTCCAGTGTCTCGTATGGGCTTGGGCTCGTGGTAGAAGGATCGGGAAAACGGAGTGGAAAAGATCCCTCCTGGAAAGACTTGTAGAGTCATGGGATGGTTTGGGTTGGAGGGACCTTCAAGATCATCTAGATCCAACCTCCTGCATGGGCAGGGACACCTCCCACCAGCCCAATCTGCTCCAAGCCCCACATTAGATCTTTGGACACGTCCAGGGATGGAGCAGCCACCTTAAAGATCACCTAGTGGATCACTTTCCCCTGCCAGGGAGTCCTGCAGTCCTGCCTGTCTTCAGGAGCAGCTCAGGGGCAGCCAAGTCAATCATAGAATCATGGGATGGTTTGTGTTCTAAGGACTTTAAAGCTCATCCAGTCCCACCTCTGCATGGGCAGGGACACCTCCCAGCAGCCCAGGCTGCTCCAAGCCCCATCCAACCTGCCCTTCAACACCCCCAGGGATGGGGCAGCCACAGCTTCCCTGGGCAACCTGGCCCAGGCTCTCCCCACCCTCACAGCCAAGAATTTCCTCCTCATGTCTAATCCAAATCTCTCCTCTACAAGTTTCAATCCATTGTCCTTTGTCCTCTCAGTAGACGTAAAGGAGTTTGCAGAACTCCTTTTTTGTGTCCAAGGGCAGGTTGGATGGGGCTTGGAGCAGCCTGGGCTGGTGGGAGGTGTCCCTGCCCATGTCAGGGGGTGAGGCAGGAGGACCTGAAGATCCCTCCCAACCCAAACCATCTCGTGCTTCCACACCAGCCCCCACACAGGCAGGACTCACGCTGGTTTTCCTCCTGCATGGATGAATTGGTGCCGTTCACACTGTCCTGAATGTCACTCCAGGTCAGGAACTCAACTCCTGCTTCCCTGGATTGGCCTTTCAGCTGCACCAAGTCCTCAAAATACCTGGAGGAGACAGAGAGGACAATGGTTGGGTGCATTCTGAGCAGACATGGCACCTGCCAGAGCCCAGGGCCTGGTTTTTCCAAGAGGACCAGGAGGGTCCAGAGGGCAGGAGGCTCCTGACAAGCCCAGACACAGCCCAGGTCACCCAACCCTCCCCTCCCAAGGGGTTGACACAGAGACCTTCTCCTCACCGCTCTGAATTCACCTCCTCCAGGCCCGAGAGGCCCAGGGCAGGGCTGACCAGGCTGCTCCACAGCCCCTGGGGGTCCCCAGCATCCACTGCCTGGTTCACCAGGGCCACAGCTGAGAGCATCTCCACGGCCACAAACACCTCCTCCTGCACCAGCTCACCCTGCAGAGACTCAGATGGGTTGGGTTGGAAGAGACCTTCAAGCTCATCCAGTCCCACCCCCCATGGGCAGGGACACCTCCCACCAGCCCAGGCTGCTCCAAGCCCCATCCAACCTGCCCTTGGACACAAAAAAGGAGTTCTGCAAACTCCTTTACGTCTACTGAGAGGACAAAGGACAATGGATTGAAACTTGTAGAGGAGAGATTTGGATTAGACATGAGGAGGAAATTCTTGGCTGTGAGGGTGGGGAGAGCCTGGGCCAGGTTGCCCAGGGAAGCTGTGGCTGCCCCATCCCTGGGGGTGTTGAAGGGC